AGTCCCTGGAAGACCCCATGATCACATGCACCCTTTTCCCTGACAAAGATAACCACTCTGATTTTGGTTTCTCAGTCCCATTTTTTTCCTTTCAAAAATCATTATTTTCTTTCAAAAATTTCAATAATCAATATTGAAATTCAATATTGAAAATTCGATAATTTTCAATATCTTTCAAAAATAGTTAATCACATATTAATATATATTTCTGAATAATATATTATTTAGTTTTTAGTGGTTTTGAATATTTTAAATGGAATCAGACTGATTTTATTCTTCTGTAACTTGTTCTTTTTAATCAGCATTACGCTTGAGAGCATTTTAATTGTTGTATAGCGTACCACTGTGTGAATAGACATACTCTAGTAGTTTATCCATTTTCTTGTCCATGGACATTTGAGTGCTTTCCAGTTTGGGGCTAGTACAAACAATAGCAGTGTGGACATTCTTGTTCTTATCTCCTGGTGTATATGAGCAAGCATTCCTTTAGGGTATATTCTTTGGAATGGAACTGCCAGGTCATAGTATCTTCATCTTTAGTAGTTACTACCTCATGAACTATTTTTTGCTTTGTTCAAAAGGGCTAGGGTTGCCATATTTAGCAAATTAAAATATAGGGTGCTCAGTTAAACTTGAATTTCAAATTAAAATAATGTTTAGGATAAGTATGGCCTGTGCAAAATTTATATTTTATCTGGCAACCCTAACGAGGGTCAGTGAACTTTGCCAAACCACAAACACTGGCCAATGAAGGATGAGTGTGAGAGGGTGGTGGAACATTTGACCCTCTCATCCTCTGCTAGATGGCCAACCCAGATGTTTATGAGCAGGTCAGCAAAGGGGGCTCAAGTGCTTGTTAACCAGCTGTGTGGGTAATTGATTGGCTCAGTAAATATGTATTCAGCACCAGCTGTATGCTAGGCAAGTGCTGGATGTTGGGAATAAAACTGTAAGCATTACAGACAAGGATCCTTGCCCTCTCTAGGTTTTTAGCCAAGGTGGGGAAACGGGACATGTTTAATAACTGGCTTTGGTGGAGGAAAAGAAGCCCTAATTTGTATTTGCTGACTTTGGAGGTGTAAATACTCTCACCATAGCTATTTTAAGCTACAATTGTAATGTCACTGAACACTGGGTTGGGAAGCCATGTACACAATTGGCTCTCAGGGCTAAGTACTCCGCTATGTGGGAGTACTTAGAAAGGACATTTCAACATTAATTTTTTCCTTGAATTTAGAAGGAATCAAATGTTAAGACGTATAAAATGTATTTCATTGTATCTATAATCCTGAATGCTTTGTAAATATTTTTACTATGCTATATAAGTAGAAAGGAGTTCAATAAACATAGTTGCCTGGGTGCAGTGACTCATGTGTGTGGCCTCATGTAACACATGAGGTATTTTACAATACCAGCATTTTTGGAGGCCAAAGTGGGTGGATTGCTTGAGGCTATCAGTTTGAAACCAGCCTGGGTAACATATGGAGACCCCGTCTCTACAACAAATAAAAAAATTAGCCAGGCATGGTGGCATGTTCTTGTAGTCTTAGCTACTTGGGAGGCTGAGGCAAGACGATTGCTTGAGCCCAGGAGTTCCAGGTGACAGTGAGCTATGATAGTGCCACTGCACTCCAGCCTGGGTGATAGAGTGAGACTCTGTCTCAATAAAACCAACAAGAAAATAACCATAGTTGTAAATTATGATCATTCTATAGATTAGGGCTCAGATCTCCCCCTTTTGCATCTGACCTTCCATCAGGAGACCCTTGTAGACCTCTCTTGCCTTGCTCCCTCACTTGTATCCCAGCTCACTAGTGCTCATTTTTCACTCATTCCACAAACACTGACAAAGCCATTGATCTGTGCTGGCTACTGTACTAGGGCTTAAGTCCTTATCCTCATGGAGCACTCATTCCACAGAACATTCTCCCCAGTCTCTTCACAATTCTTCCTAGGCAGGTTTACTGCCTTCTCCTTTTACTTGCTCAGTCATTCTTATATTCTCAAGTTGGCTTTCCCTTTGGGAATAGTTCTCTGAGGAAGATTGCCAAAAACCTCCTTTCAAGGATCTTTTCTTGTTCTTGAGATTTCTCTTTTCCCACAGAGTGGCAGGTGTTCCTTTCTGTTTGAATCTGGACTCTCCTGACTTTTCTGTCTCTTTTCCTATTATGCAATCTATCACTCTAGCCATCTGATCTCTCCATCGGACATTTTTTGAATGCCTATATGCTAGTAAATGTGCAAGGTATGGGGCAGCTTCTACTTACCATTTAAAAGTTTTCATTTACTTGATATAATCACTGTATAAAATTATGTATTGGCACAATTTGTGTCCAGAGGTCCTTTTTATGCTTAAATTTCTTTAAATGTATTTATTGAACTTTTTCTGAATTTAAAAAGAAATACATGATTCATTGTATAAAATTTGGAAAAGCATAAAGGGCGAAATAGTAATTATGTAATCTCACAACCCAAAGCTAGTTATTATTAACTTTTGGGGGTGTATCCTTCCAGTTATTTTTTGTGCATACTTACAAACAAATTGACATCATACCCACTTTTTCACTTACTGCAGTGTGAAAATATTATCGTATTCTTCAGTATTCTTTGAAGGCATGATTTTAAATGATGGCATGACATTACATTTTTAAGCTAAGCCACAGTTTTTTTAAATAGCTCCCTATTGTGGGTAGAGGTCTTTTTATAAGTCTGTGGGTGCTATCTTTATCATAAGCTACAACAAAACAGGAATCAAACTTGTGATTGTCCTTCTAAGGCAGCACCCACAACAAAAATATATCTAAAGTAATTTGATTATGGATGTGCTATGATCCTCTAGTTACCGCTTAAAATAAAAAGAACTAATCTGCATAAAATGTAATATGGCTTGGAATAAAGGTAACTTAAAGCTCTGGGAAGGTTGGGACAAAAATAACCTAACATCATCAAACCTCTTTGGTTGGGCTTTGTTTACTATTTTTGAGAAGAATTGAGCTTTGTATAATGTCTTGGAATTGGTAGGAGCTTTAGGGATCACCCAGTGACTCTAACCTCTTTCTGATAGATGAGGAAATTGAATCAAGGATTGTTACCTTCTGAGACTAATACCCAAATTTCTTAACTTCCTTCCTGTCCTATGCAGTTTTTACCACAATCTGCTGACTAAGCTTACACTTACAAATACAGAAAGAGTATACAGTTAGCTACACATTGTTATAGAAATTGTTTCCCCCTAGTACATGTACTTTTGGTATAAAAATTTAATGGTAAAGTCCCTTGTATCCAAGGGAAAGGACAGCATATGTCCACACAAAGACTTGTATATGAATGTACATAGCAGCAATATTCATAATAGCCAAAAAGTGAAAACAATGCAAATGTCCAACAGTTGATAAACAATGTGTGGTATATTCATACAATGGAATACTACTCAGAAATAAAAAGAAACGAACTATTGATAAATGCAACACTGTGGATGGTTCTCAAAATAATTGTGTGAAAGGAGCCAAAGAGTACAAACTGTACTCTTTCATTTATTTAAGATTCTAGAAAATTCAAACTACTCTGTTGTGACAGCAGATTTGTGGTTACCCAGGAATGGAAGTAGAGTGGAGGAGGAACCACAAAGAGGTAGAGGAAACTTTGGAGGGTGATATACTCACCACCTTAATTGTGGAAGTGGTTTCAGGGGTATATACACATCAAAATTTTGTACATTGTAAATATGTGCATTTTATTGTATGTCATTTATACCTGCATAAAGTTGCTTAATTTGTGACATCTCCCTCTTAAGTTTGAAAAGCAGACATGACTAAAAGCTCAGTAAAGAATCTGAAGCACATGAAAACTAAAGTTACTTCTGGAGATAACTGACAACCAAGGTTCTATTATGGTATGATAGTTTATCTAAAAAAACATTACTATGAGAAATGCAAAGTCATAAAAATAAAAAATAGAAATGACATTTTTGTTCCCCTGGTAATCATGCTATTTCCTTAGGTCTCTACAGTTGCTCTATATCATAATCTTTTTAGTGTTCTATTCAATTTGGTTTTCTAAAGAGAGCAATAACCTTGTTGTATTTTCCCTGAACTATTAGACTTCTCTTTTATGTACAAGATGCCCAATCCGTGGTGTGTGTACGTGTATGGGTGAGTAGAAAGCTACACTGTATCTATAAATTTTAGCAAATGCTGTAATTTGTTTTGGGCTTTTGTAGCCAGGACTCAGCAGCAGCACTGGAAGCAAATTGGAAATTTCTAGAAACCATACCCTCCCTCTTCTACAAGATGAAGACTGTATAGTAGTTTTCACATACTGAATATGTGAATTCAGTGAACATTTCTATTTAGATTTCCCATTTATTGTCTTAAAACAAAGAACTGCTGTACTACAGTCTACAACACCAGTAATTTTTAATTTATTAAAGATCTTTCTCAGAAAACGTGAAAAAGTTTTATTTCCCAATACCTCCTGCCCCCCACGTATTTCATAGCTCTTTCATTCCGTAATTACTCCCATTCTGCAGACGGGAGGCGCACACTGGATTTTTTGCATAGTACAGAGGGGCAAGAGAGAAGCAACTCTCAACTTTTCAGTTCCATTTTGAGAAATGATCACATCGAACTCCAGAGAAGCGGCAGGCGAGCGCGAGCAGAGGCATTCTCCCCAGGCTGGGTGTGGGTCAGGAGCCAGGCGCGCTTCCGCGCGCGAGAGGGGGAGTCAGGTGGCAGCGGCGCGGGAGCCGGAGCGGCGCAGCGGGGGCACGTGTGGGGCGCGCCTCCCTCCGGCCGGCGCTGGGACACTGCCCCCGCGCACGCGAGTCCGTCGGCCCCCAGCTCCCGCGCCGCGCTGCGATCCGCGGGCGCGCCAGGGGCGCCCCGGCGCCCGCGTCTCTTCCCTCGCGCGCTCGCTACCTCCCCACACCCCCAGCCCCTGGCAGGTCCCTCCCCCAAGCCTGCTCCCGCGGCCGCCGCTGCCGCCGCCGCCGCTACCGGAGGCGCAGGAGCCTCGCGATAGTGTTTGCACAGGCGGCGCGTGACGCCGCCGCCGCCTGTAACTGATGCAGAGGTTACCCCGCCGCCTCAGCCGCCACCCACCGCCCGCCGCCACCACCCGGGCGACGCCGAGGGCCGACGCACTGCAGAGGTGCCGGCAGGTTCCGCCCGCGGAAGTCTCCTCGGCCGGCGCAGCCCGCGCTCCGCCCGCGCTCCGACCCCGGCTCCGGCGGGCGCCCCCTCGACGCCTCTGCTGCCGCGCTCTTCCCCTCTGCCTCTTCTCCGGCGTGCCCGCCCGCTCCCTCGCTTCTCCCCCTCTCCCTCCTCCCTGTCCCCTCTGCTTCCCTCACCTCTTCCCTCCCCACCTCCTCTCTTCTCAGTTTCCTCCCCCATTCCCTTGACTCTCCCCTCCCTGCCCTCGCTCTCTCGCTCGCCCTCAGCGCGGCCCCCGCCATGACGGAGGCGGGTGCCGGTGCCGTTGCCGCCGCTGCCGTCGCAGGGGGGGAGTCGGGTTCCCAGAAAGTAGCTTGATGAGTGTCCAAAGTAGCAGTGGAAGTTTGGAGGGGCCGCCATCTTGGTCCCAGCTCTCCACGTCTCCAACCCCGGGCTCGGCGGCGGCGGTCAGGTCCCTGCTGAATCACACGCCGCCATCCGGGAGGCCCAGGGAAGGTAAGTGCCGCTGCGCCGGCGCCCGCTCGCGGGCTTCCCGCTCGCGCCGCGGTCCCCGAACCCCCCGGGTCTCCTCCGCCCGACCCCGGGGTGGGGGATGGTGGCGAGGTGGACGCGAGGCCGCCCGGCTCCCGGGAGATAGTGCGCTGGCTGTGGGTGGTGGTTCGCGGGTGGCGGAGAAGGCGGGCGGGGGGTGCGCGCTGGTGGGCACGGGGCGAGGCTCACAGACTCGCCTGGGGTTCCTAGGTGCCAGTCCTGCGAGGGTAGGAGGCCTCCCCCCGGACGCGAGCCCCTTTCTGCTCCATTTGCCAGTACACTCAGTACTCTTAACCTCCTGGCCTCCGGTCTCTGGTGGGTTTTCTCTCCCGTTGGAGCATTCGTCCTCGAGCCCCCTCCCCTTCCCCCGCGCACTCCTCCCAAAGAGGCGGGCCCGGCTCTGCGAGCTTTGCTGCCCGGGACCTGGAGGATACCCCTGGCTTGCAGGGTCTCTGCCCTTTGCGTGGAGACGCTGACATTATCTAGGCAGACTTTGATACCCTGTGTGGCCCCCTAGAGCAATTCAAACGACAGACTGACTCGTGGGCAGGCTTTTAAAACCACCCCTCCAGATGGTTGCAACTTTCCTTCACCATCGCCTCCTGCGTGTTTGTGCGTTATCTTCTCTACTGCAAGTAGGCTTCTCTTCTTCTCTGACAGGGTCGTGGGTTTTGTGGGAAATATCTGCGTAAAGGTTACTGCAAACACGCACCAGATCAGTTACAATTGTTTTCTAAGTTTTCTGGCTTCTTGCAAGCAAGTGTGCTGCCACCAGATGTAGCAGTTACACAGCTTGTAAGGCACCGGCGTGCTTTTGACTAAAATTTCAACTTGCTGTATTTAACTTTAAGTATACAACATAAAATGAAATTTGGGAGAACATGCATTTATGAGGGAAGAATAAATGTGCATGGAATCTTTTTTAACGCTCTTTTGTCTGGAAAACGCGTAGCGGTATTAATCAGCAATTGGCAAATGGGTTGTTCACTCCCAGTTGTCTAACACAAGGAGATTGTAGGCACATTTTTTAAAAAAAATGTCTGAAAGTCAAACAGTGTAGTGAATCATTTAAAGAAACCAAGAGCTTTGATTTATGTAGGAATCGGTGGGATTACTTTATCTTGAAAATATCTGTCGATATTTACTATTCAGAGCATTGACAATTGTTAATCAAGTGTTTTGTGCCCTGAAGCCAGTGGTTCAGGCATAGCATTCTTTGTCATTTTGTTCCTGTGAGCATGTGTGAAAGTGACAATAGGCTCAAAGATTGGCATGAATATGCTCTAGAAAATTCGTGGAAAGGTTTGATGTATGGCATCCATTAAACATGCCGAATACATTGACTGACGTTTTCTCCTTTCATCTCATCCTAACACTGAGCTTTCATTATTAGAAGATAAAAGTTTATTTATTGAGTAATGCAAATTCAGTGCATCTGATGGTTTTTCTTTTTGCCTTGAAAATTTGTTAATGAATCTTTTAAAATGTATTTTATAAATAGAGCAGTTAATGTTTTTAAGATGCTTCTACTTTTGTCTGTAGTTTCATTAAGATGCTTAATAATAGTGTTGTGAAAGACCATTTTATTTCGTTTCTTATTAAAGGATTTACCTTTTTATCGTTCATTCGTTGCATATTTATTGAGCCTTTACTGTGAGCCAGACCCTGAATTAGATACTGAGGATATAGTGTTGAATTATTTGTTGACATCTATTGTAAGTATTGGGAATTTGGGAGCCACGAAATCTGGATTGTGAATTTCTGCGGTTACTTAAACTCTAGTTAAAAACCTTCTCATCTGTACTATTCTGCACATTTTCTAATGTTTGAAAATTTTGAGGGCTTGAAATAATTTAGCTTGAACTTCCAAATAACCAGATTTTTTCCCAGCAGTTTAGATTACAGTAGATTTTTATGTAACCTAAAGTAAGGAGTCTCATAAAATAATAGGACATGCTTTTGTGAAAGTTATACTTTACACTAAGTACCTGTATGGCCACAGTAGGGTATTTCTTTTTGACCAACTAATGTGCATGTTAAAACTGTTAATCCTCTCTAGGTTTATCTATTCATTTTGAAGCTTGGAGCTGTGTTCTTAGATTTCACTAATGGTAACAGGAATTACATATATGTAGCACCTAGTATCATAATGGAGCTATTTTCTATTGAGTGGAATCCCAGTTTTTATTTTAACAAGTGTTTAGTATCTTTTCCAGGTATGCATGTTAGTATGTTATATAAATTTAAATTTTAGGGGCTTTTGACTTCTGGTAAGAACCATTAATATTAAGGGAACTTGAATTTATTAAATGTATATATCAAGAAGAGAACAAACTTTGTTTCTTGAAAAATTTGACATAGTAATAGAAAAATTTAAACATTAGAGATACACGTAAGTTTATGTGATTATATAAATATTAACATATGTGATGAGCTCCTTTTAAGCAAACTTTGCTTTGAAAATGGGCTGTTTTTAAAGATATGCCGTAAGTATCTGTAAATGTTACTTATTTTGAAGCTTTGACATATTTGGAACCAAAAATCTAATATTCTGATTATTTTTGGTGTTCTATGTTTTGGCTTTCCGCCTCCCTTTCTTACCTAATTCTTGTTATCATATTCATAGAGTTTTATTTGATTACAAATGAAATATAGCTTTATAAGATTTAGGAATCCATTAGAATTTAGGAATTTATATGATAAATGTAGTATAGACTGCTTTCCTGTGGGTCCCAAAGCTTTTCCTTTATCAGTCATGAAGTTCTCTTTGAGGTGCTCAGTGTAACTCTAGATTTTCTGTTGGATCTTTTAAACGTGTGATCTCTATCCCATTTTGTCTTCTATAATCCTGTGATTAAAAGGATGAAGAGTTAAGGAATTAAGAAAGTTTTGAAATAAAGGTCAGTTTGCTTTGTTGAAATCTAGGAACCTAGTGTAATATTGGCTAGATAAGCAGATTTTTTTTTCTCATATCAGTACATGGGTACTTTTGAATGAGTTATTGCTAAGAATCAAATGATCGATTGTACAGAGTACTTGCCATTTTCTTTTCCTGTGCCATGCTGTCATTTATGAATAATCTGTTTTACTTTTTTTGTTTTTATAAATAATGAAAGTAGTTTCATCAAAAAGATGGCATGGCAGTTAAACTGTTACTATCTCTGTGTTCATATTTAAAGACTGCATTCCTTACATAGAATTAAAGTATTTGACTCCAGACGATTGAGTAATGAGATGTTGAAAATAAAGGTGTACCAAATGGCCGAGCAGGTCTTTAGTATCCTGAAATCAAGAGCCAGAGGAGGATGGGGTTGTATGTTTAAGGATTCTAGTTCTTAAATAGATATGTGGTAGGTGCCTCCTTTGCAGAGCTACATTTACATATTAGAGGAGAGAGAGAAAAAAACCCAGAACAGAGATCTGAAAATCTTTTGAGAAATTGGCTATGCTTTAGTCTTTTGGTCTCAGGGCCTCTTTACTCTCTTAAAAATTATTGAGAATCCCAAAGATATTTTATTTATGTGAGTTATATCTATTAATATTTGCTATTTTAGAAATTAAATGATATTTCAAATATATTAATTTATAATCATAAACTAATGTGTTAAATTTTATGAAGAATAAAATATGTTCTAAAAAATTAGTGAGACTAGTGGCATTGTTTTATATTTTTGCATATCATTTTGATTTCCAGCTTCCTAGAAGACAGCTAGATTTTGCCGCTGCTTTCAGTCTGTTGTGATGTTTTGATTGCGATAACTGAAGAGAATCCAGCTTCACATAGCGGTATAGTTGGAAAAGGAAGTATTTAATAGCCTTTTCAGAGTGAGTATTATTCTTTGATATTACACCAAAATTCAACAAGTGGCAATTTTTTAAAAAGGTTACTTGCAGTGTGGAACTACATTGTACTCCAAAAGTGATTCTAGGACCCACAGGACTGTGGACCATATATTTAGCCTAAAGAAGAAACTGAAGGGTGGGAAACATGATGACTGTCTTCAGATATTTCAAAAACATAAATAGAAAAGAGAATAGTTTCATTCATTCTCCTATTTTAGAAGGCACATTAGCAGGTGAAAATTGGAAGGACATAGATTGAGTTCAGTATAATTTTTTGATGAGAATATAAGGACTATATTGCAACTAGACTTGGAACAGGGGACCAAAGTGGAAATTAGCAACAGTAGAAGGAGGTACTTGGTTGTAAGCATTTAAAGTGGACTAAAGGGACTTATTTTTTGGGAAGATGGAGTTAAGTTCTGTAGATTCTTATAATGGGTGCTGTTGGATTAAATGACTTAAGGTCGCATCCATTTAAAAAATGTAAGACGTCTGATTTTAAAAAAATCCCTAAATATAATTATACTGTATTTATATACTCATTAACATTTTTGACTATTCTCTCAAGTCAGTAGTATAAAACCATTGTTGATTTTATTACTGTTTTGCATTTTTAGTGTACTTTTCCTCTAAGGATTTTCCTGTATTTTCTGGAGTCAACAAGATCAGTCTTCATGAAATTTTGCTAAATTCTGTGTGAAATATGATAAGCCTTGAAGACATTTTAGGGAACCAATTGCTGTTTATGATACAGTTTAGTAGAGTTGTAATATATTTGAGCACAGAGTTTTAGAATATGGTGTGGGACTGATTTTCAATTTCGAAAGAGAAACTATGAATATAGTCTGTATAGTCTTTTGTTTGTAATTGTATAATTTCAGAAGTAATATGGAAAGATAGCTTAAGCTATTGTAATGTTTTTAAAGCTGAGAGTCTGGAAAGAGGGAACAAGAAGGAAAAGTATTTAAATTGGTCTCTCTTGAATTTAAAACTGTATATTTAATATAATCAGGACATAAAATAAAATGAAGAATTTTAATTCTCATCTTATTTAGAGAATTATACATGTAATATTTGTCATTACTTATAAAAATTCATATTTTAATTTTATATGGACCATA